CTTATCAGGGGATCATGTAATGACAACACATTATCACCCGACGAATAAAATATATATATATATATATACATATTGATTCTGAGATTCTTCCTTCAATTTGAAAAAGTGGAATTCACATTACCTTCCCACCATGATTCAACTCATTTATTTTCTTCGTATCCGCTCCTTCATAAAATGCTGCCGAGAAGCACCGAAGTTGCAAATCAAAAGGACGTACCGGTGCTCCAAACATCATCGTTCCAAAACCATCAAACATATTTTCGATTTTTTGACTTATATGCTGAAATGATTTCTTTACCTATACATTTTTCGGAGAAAGGAACTCGTATTCCTTATATTGCCTACCCTTCCTTCTTTTATTCATTTATCAGCAACAGCAATTATAATCTTACAATAACAGTTAATGTTTCATAAAAATTCAGAAAGTAATATATCTGAATGTATATTTATTTCTTTTATTATGGAAAATTCTAAGATGTAACCAAGATGTTTTTCTTTCTTTACTTCAAATGGTATTTCATTAGAGAATACAAGAATAATAAAAGAAATAACATACCTAGAAAATTTTCTTTGATAAAAAAAATTAAAACAAAATTTGGAAGTAAAAGATATCTACGCAATAACAAAATTAAAGATTGTTATCAGAGATTGGAAAGAAGTAAAAAAAAAGCCGAAAATTCCAAAAAGAAAAAAAATGAATAAAGGATGGTGAAACTTCGAAAAAAGTACAATTTCTGGAGATTTCAATGAATTTTGTCAATAAACACCTCTCAAAAATGAAAATAGGTGTAACAACGATGGAATGTTAATGAAGAGATATGATTGAAGAGAAGGAAGAATATCTCCACACTACAATGCTACCAGAAAGAAACTGTGAGCATCCCTCATTCCAAACATCAATAAAATTTAATTTTACTAAACAAAAAAAAAAAACGTGGGATAATTTTCACGGGCTCATTAGGCAAATATATGTCTCATTGTGATAGCTATAGATAAAGGTGAAAAAAAAAATTTTTTTTTGAATTTATCAGGTTTCACCGGGAGTTGCTTAGAGTTGCTGTATGATCCGAGGTTTCACGGATACCTGAAGTAATGAACAGGGCAGTCTCGAAAAACGATCATACGCATCAAAACTGTATGGGATAGAAGTATTTTCATATTGCTCCGTGTGTTACGACAAATCAATTCCGTGTTCGAGTGTCTCAGGTTTATGCGGGAAACCTACAATCTCGATGGATGAGGGAATTTGGTGTGTTGTACGGGGCGTATCTTTTATACGAAACTTTACCGAGATTTCCCAGAATTGCAATGGGAGTTTTTTTATTGCGTGGCTCTACCTAGATTTCGTGTCACTTTGATAGGAATTTTTTTTTTGTGAAGAATTGAAATTATTATGATCGGGTGGTTTTTTTCATCAATTTCAACTTTCTCAGATTAATTTTTACGATGGATTTCAGGTACAGAAAGAATGGCTCAGGAGGAGCTATTAGAAGTATTACAACGGACCGCTTCATTAAGTAAGTTGTTTTGTTACTTTTCGTTTCTTCTTTTGAAATTATATCTTGAAAATCTAATATCATATCAAATGTTATAGATGAGATTGATAATGGATGAGTGGTAGCCATTAATTCATGGAATAGATAGGAATGATAGAGTTGAATAGTTGTGGTGTAATTGAGAGTGATGACATGCACTGGATGACTGACCGAAAGTTCTAGCAATATGGGAGACCACGCTTAATTTTTATTCGAATTAATAAGTACTGGGAGGGTATCTATCCTTGATATACACTGCGCAGATGGTTATGATCTTAATTTCCAACTTTGCTATAGGGATTTAAATTGAAGAGATTAAAAAAGGATTGTAAGGAATTCAAAGTTGTTTGCATATCTTTCAAAATTGGCATAACTATTAGTTTTTCAGATCCAAATGATCAAACTCTTGCGTTGGATTATTTGCGACGTGCATGTGTTTCTAATTTTGTAAGTTACTTTCATTGCTTATTTTTTTAGATACTTTTGGGGCTTTTTTTATGAGGTTTGTGAAATAGTTGAGAAAAATCATTACTTGGTTATCCGTTCTTTCCATTTTTAATAAAAAATCAAAGCATGTAGAATCCGCTATGCTTGTTGCTAAATGATTAGATGATAAATAGTAAGGAAATTATCGGCTGGTAAAAATTTTCAGCCGGAATTTACAAAACAACTATCAACGGTTCTTGCGACGCCATCCTATTCAAATTTTGTAAGGCAAGCTGCTGGTTTACAGTTGAAAAATGTTTTGGTTGCAAAAGAAGACGCGACGAAAAATGAATATCTTACAAGGTATTTTTTCATTATATCCAGGTTTTTACTGAAACATAATTTTAAAAAAAGGTATTAAGCAGAGAAAATGTGATATGAACAAGATAAAAGGATTATGCTCAGGAGATTAGTAGTTGTTTTTGAAGTGTATTTAATTTCTTTAGATCAAAACGGTGAGATACGCAGAGAATCTGTTTACCTATCTAGGGGTATTAATAGAGTATTTTATCTTTTCTTTATAGTCATATTCTCGCCACCAAAGGCTCGTTTATTCAAAAAATTTGATGTGTTAGCGAATGATAATATTTTTAGGTGGCTTGCTTTACCAATAGATGTTCGAGAATTTGTGAAGCAAAACGTAGTTCGTACTCTTGGTACTGAACCTTTTAGGCCATCCATTGCAGCTCAATGTGTTGCTGCCATAGCATGTGCTGAAATACCTTCGCAGGTAGATTTTTCAGAGTAAATTTATCATAAAGGTTTTATGTTAACTGTGTGAGATGATACGCTGAATAAGGCCGAACTTAGTAATGCTTATAGTGATGGTAATTTATGTAATAAGTCAGGTTGTATATGATACTAAAAGTTAATTGTTTATGTATTGGATTTAGCTATTTTTACTGAAATTCTTCGTTTAAATTTCAGCGATTTAATGCAAAGAAGAATGCTATTAGAGAATGAAACATAGAAAGGAATGCATTGTGCTTTCTAAAATTAAGAAGATCAGGTGCACTAAAGATGAAGATAATCATGAAAGTCCTTTAAAATATTTTTCAGATGTGGCCGGATGTTATTACTCATTTAAGGGATAGCGTAATAGCAACGAGCAATAGCGAAATATTAAGGGAAGCATCACTAGAGGTAACTCTGTTTCGTAATACCTTGATTTTTTGATTTTCAACCAGTTTTCTCAATTTTTTCATATTATATTAGATCAAAATTTAGTATAGCTGTCAATATTCCTATGAAACGAGGTTATGATCCACAAAAGTTGTCGGAAGTCGTATTATCATGAACTAGGCGCAATTATGATTAGTAGCAACAGTTGTCGTTTTCTATTTTTTAGGCCCTGGGTTATATTTGTCAAGATATATGTGGATCATTATTGGAAAGAGAATCGAATCAGATTCTAACGGCCATTGTTCATGGATTACGAAAAGATGAACCATCGAACCATATTCGTCTTGCAGCTGCTAATGCTATGTTGAATTCAATTGAATTCACGAAACATAACTTCAGCAGAGAGGTCTTCTTTTTTCAGAATGTTTGTAAATGCAACAATGGTGCTTTACCCCAAAAAAGAAGCCAGTTGAATTGGCTTTAATTTTAAATTATCCATTTGTTCAGAAAAACTTGTACTTTTTTTCGTTATGTCTTATGATATGAGCCATACCAAAAAAAAACTCCGTGAATGATTAAACGAGTCTGTAGGAAACAGTAGCTTTTCTGTGAAATATTTTACAGACATTTCTATCTAAGAATATACTGCACTTCTAATGCATTATGGAAGTTATCCAAAGGTGATATTTCTTTTCTAATTTATTTTTAGATTTTCTGGTCTTATCGTTAAATCTTTATAAGTTATTGTTTGCAATATAATGTAGTAAATTTTGGAAAAAGTTTTGAATTATTTTAGAACGAGCGACATATGATTATGCAAGTGGTATGTGAGTCATCTCAATGCCCTGAAACAGCCGTTAAAGTAGTGGCCATGCAATGTTTGGTCAGGATTATGTCACTGTATTATCAGTTTATGGAACAGTACATGGATGCACTTTTTCCGGTATGTGCTCCGGAATCTTATTTGATGGATCCGGATTTTCTTTTGACTTTTGTCAAATCTATTATCAAAGACTTAAAAATTTTTATGTTTCTGTCTGCTCTATTTTATTTCCGTGAATAGGACTGTACGTTAGCTGCAAAGGATTTATAGAGAGTTTTTTTTGAAGCTGTCATTTGATAGGTCTTTGATAACAATGAAAATAGCAGTAATGTTAAATATATCATCATAAAAATTCACAAAAATCACAATCACAAAGCTTTTCAGATTAGTTTAAATGCAATGAAGTCTCAAATTAATGAAGTAGCTTTACAAGGGATCGAATTTTGGTCTAATGTTTGTGAAGAAGAGATATCCCTATCTGTAGAAGCGGAAGAAGCTCGGGAACAAGGCCGTGCTCCTGAAAATGTTTCGCGTCATTATGCTCGTGGTATGTCCGCATTTGGTTGACTTTGGTTGGACTTTGTGCTTAGAGCAAGGATTACACATGAGTTTAATGAATTTATTGTATCGATACATTTTCGCATGATTACTAGCTCTAGATAGGGAAATTCTAATGAGCTAATGAATGATCAAAGAAGATATGGCATCATTAAGTATTAGAACAGAAAAGGATTGATTCCAACCTTTTTCCAGTGTTATTCTTAAAATGACAAGTAATTCTGATGCTCACAATCGACTCTTTAACTTCTGTATTTCATCATTTCAGGAGCTCTAACTCATTTGATACCTATTCTCACTGAAACATTGGCTAAACAGGAGGAAAGTGACGATGAAGATGATTGGAATCCAGCCAAAGCAGCTGGCGTATGTATAATGCTTCTTGCACAGTGCACCGGCGACTCTATCGTTGAACCAATTTTGCCTTTTATTCAACAACATTTAAAGAATCCTAGCTGGAGGTAATTTTTCACTTTTTTTTCTAATTCAAGTAAGATATTGAATACAACTCATCTTATTACATTTTGCTTCTTTATCTCCTTTAATATAGATATCGGGAAGCATCTATAATGGCATTTGGATCGATATTAGACGGACCAAACGAAGCAGTCTTAACACAATTAGTTGAATCAGCACTGACAAGTATTATTGGTTCGTTATCTGATCCTCAGGTGAGCGTTATCTGATCCTCTTTTAATTTCAATTTTAATAAACTCAAATAGTCTATGGGTT